TCCCCCTCCCCAAGATGCCATGCAATCTGATATAGGTTATACAGACACAATGATGTTAAACATTTTTTGCTTTGTTTTTGGGCTAGACAATGGGGTTAAGTGACTTGCCCAGGGTAACATGGCTAATATGTGTCAAGTGTCTGAGGCTAGATTTGAACTCAGGTCCTCCTGACTGCAGGGCTGGTACTCTATCCACTGCGCCACCTAGCTACCCCATTGTGTTAAACATTTTCCACACATTAGTCATATTATAGGGGGAAAAAAGAACCAGAACAAAAGGGAAAAAGCACAAGGGAAAAAAAGAGAGAGAGAGAAAATAGTACGCTTCTATCTGCGTTCAGACTCCATAGTTCTTTTTCTGGATGTGGACAGCATTTTCCATCATGAGTCTTTTGGAGTTGTCTTAGATCATTGCATTGCTGAGAAGAGCTAAGTCTATCAAAGTTGATCAGTGAATAAGTTGCTGTTACTGTGTACAATGTTCTCCTGTTCACTCAGTATCGTTTCATGTAAGTCTTTCCAGGTTTTTTTGAAGTCCAACTGCTCATCATTTCTTATGGAACAGTAGCATTCCATTACACCCATATACAAAACTTGTTCAGCCATTCCCCAATTAATGTGCATCCCCTCAATTCCAATTCTTTGCCACCACAAAAAGAGCTGCTATAAATATTTTTGTACATATGGCTCCTTTCCCTTTTTTAAGATTTCTTTGGGGGCAGCTAGGTGGCACAGTGGATAGAGCACAGGCCCTAAAGTCAGGAGGACCTGAGTTCAAATCCCGGCCTCAGACCAAACACTTGACACTTACTAGCTGTGTGACCCGGGCAAGTCATTTAACCCCAATTGCCTAAAAGCAAAAAAATAAAATAAAAAATTTAAAAAAAAAGATTTCTTTGGGTTACAGATCTAGTAGTGGTATTATGGGATCAAACGGTATGCACAGTTTTGTAGCCCTTTTGGCATAGTTCCAAATTGCTCTCCAGAATGACTGGATCAGTTCACAACTCCAACAGTGCATTAATGTTTGAATTTTCCCACCTTCTTTCCCATCTTCTCCAACATTTATCATTTTCCTGTTTTGTTGTGTTAGCCAATCCAATAGGTGTTACCTCAGAGTTTTCATTTGCATTTCTCTAATCAAAAGTGATTTAGAGCATTTTTCATATGACTATCATAGTTTTCATTTCTTCATCTGAAAACTGCCTGGTCATATTCTTTGACCATTTATCAATTGGGGAATGACTTGTTCCCTTATAATTTTAACTACATTGAATTTATTAGGGCAAAAAATTTAAAATTTAACATAATCAAAATTGTCCATTTTATCTTGTATGATCTTCTCTATCACATTTGGTCATGAGCTCTTCCCCTATGCAAAGATCTGAAAGACAATTTCTTCCTTGCTCCACTAATTTGTTTATAATAAGACTTTTTATATTTAGGTGATGTATCCATTTAGAGCTTATCTTGGTATGTGGGGTGAAGTGTTGATGTTGTTTTGGGTTAACAGTTGTACAACTCATTTCTACCAGACAGCTGTCCAGTTTTCCCAGAAGTTTTTGCCAAATAGTGAGTCCTTCTCTCTGTAACTGGGGTCTTTGGGTTTATCAAACAATGTTCTACTATGCCAACCTGGCTTTCTGCTGTTCCTCACTCACAGCACTAGTTCTCTATCTCTGGGCCTTTGTACTGGCCCCATACCTGAAATGTTCTCCCCTTCTCACTTCCACCTCATTAATTATTGTACTTTCTTCAAGATTCAGCCAAACTACTGCCTTTTACATGAACCCTTTCCTAATCCACCCTCCTCTGCCATTGCTAGTGCGCTCTCTATATTTATTCTATATGTACTTACCTTTATGTTGTTCATATACACACATACACACACACATACAACTAAGCTCCCTGACAGCAGAGGCTTTTCATTTCTGTCTTTGTGTCTCCAGAAACTATTACAATATGTGACATATAGCCTGTGCTCACTAAATGCTTGCTTCATTCAATCTATTTCCAAGACATTTCTCAAATACATCTTATCTCTAATCACACCACAGCCACCCTATTTCAACAATTTCCTAATTGGTTTCCCTATTCCCACTCTCCTATCTCCAATCTATCCTCTGTATTGTTCTCAAATTGATACTTCTTGAATTTGACACCCACCACCATGATCCAGGAAAAGATCATCACCAGGAAACTCCATTCATCCACTTTCATAACTCACACTTCATCATTATCCTCAGTGCCTCTGACTCTCTGAAAGGGGCAGGAAGGAGCAAAAAGCATTCCCCAAAGACTCCATTTCAAGAGGACTCACAGCCTCACTATTTCCCACTAGCTGCATCCCTTGGATTCCACTCCACCATCATCACTGCCCCTTCTTTCCTTCTTCCCCCCAAATCCTTTTCAGCTCCTTTTTGTCTGTTGAATTCCTCCTTTAGATTGTAAGCTCCTTGAGGGCTTTCTTATTTGTATCCCCAGTGCTTAGCACAGTGCCTGGCACATAAGAAGTGCTTAATAAATGTTCACTATTCATATTCCTAGAGTATAGTTCTGACCATGCCATGTCATTTTCCTGTCCGTCATTTAAAGCCAATCTGTCTTTAAATCAATCTGACTCCACCTGTTTTTCCAGACTGATTACACATTTATTTCCCTTCACACATTCTATGATTCAGAGACAGAGTGACCAATTTCAACATGCTATCTCCTGTCACTGTGCTGTCTGTCTCCCCTTCCTGGAAAGTTATCCCTCTCTACCTCTGTTCTTGGAAATTCTAGATCACTTCTAGGTTCAATTACAAGAGGTCTTTCGTCATAACTCTCCTTGTTAGTGCTTCCCCACTGACTTTTAGACAGTCAACAAGCATTTATGAAGCACTTACTATGTGCCAGGCACCATGCTAAGTGCTATGAATACAAACACAAGCAAAAAGATATTTCCCTGCCTTCAAGAAGCTTTCATTCTAATGGGACAAAACAACATGTGAGGTGCCTTATTAGGGGCATGGTGGTAAAATCCAGAGAGCCAGAACCTTCCTCAAAATGGAGGTTCTGGAAGAAATTCACCAAGGGAAAAAGGGAAGTGCAGGAGTAGAGGGATGCCCCAGGTGAAAAAGTCACATATGGAAATGTGGAACTTCCAGGGTGAGAAGGACACTGAGGTATGGTGAGAAAGTCTAGAGAGACAGAAGCAGAGCCAAGAAAGGAAACCACTTTGTATTTTTAATGTACATTTATATATTATGCATATGTACGTATATACACATTTTTTAAAGTTGACTCAGGCTTCTCGAGGGTAGGTACAAGTTGAGGGCGCCCGGTTATCATCAGCACCTACAGCAGGGCCTGACACAGAGTAGGTGTTAAATGCTTGCTGAATTAACATGATTGTAGTCATGTAAATCCCCCCTTAGTCAAATTTCTTCTGTCACTGTCTCTATGTCTCTTTGTCTCTCTCTTTCACCTGGGTCTTTCTATCTCACTCGGCTGGAAGTACAATGGCCACTCACAGCTTGATCCCAATGCTGACTTAGAAATTGTAACCTGACCCACTTTTTCCTACCTAGACCCTCTTTAAACAGCCTGGGGAATCATCACAATGGTGCCCAATCCATCAAATGCCCTATTGTCATTCAGTCATTGAGAGGTGTCTGACTCTTCGTGACCCCATGAACTATATAGCACACCAATACTGGCCATAAAGTTTTCTTGGCAAAGATATTGGGGTGGTTTGCCAATTCCTTCTCCAGTGGATTAAGGCAAACAAAGATTAAGTGACTTGCCCAGGGTCATACAGCGGGTGTGTCTGAGGCTGAATTTGAACTCAAGGTTTTCCTGACTGCAGCCAGTGCTCTATCCACTGTGACACCCGGCTGCCTACAGATTTGTACTCCAGAACTCCAGCGATCCACTAGCCTCATCATCCCCCAACAGCAACAGTTTCCCAAAGAATTTTAAAGGAAAAGACCTTTTCGTTTTTTGAAGTCAACAAAGTATCTAGGGTTAAGCATCTGGAAATCAATCTCTTCTAGATCTCAGTCTATGATCTTTTGATCTTCTGTTGGTTCACCCACAGCCTGTCTCCCTAGTCTTTGAATTAATTACCTCATTTTGTCTGGTTAAAATTTTTCACTGACTTATGAGATAAACTGAAAAGCACCTTCTCTTCAGCGAAACCCTCCTCCATCCTCCCAGGGGAAAACTTAGTGAAACTAAGTGGTACAGTGGATAGAGGATAATGCTTATTTATAGTCAGAAGAGACAGGAGTTCAAATTTAGCCTCAGACACTTACTAGCTCTGTTACCCTGGGCAAGTCTCTTAATCTGTTTGCCTAGTTTCCTCATCTGTAAAATGGGGATAATAATAGCACCTACCTCCCGTTGCTGTTAGGAGAGTCAAATGAGACAATAAGTGTAAAGTGCTTAGCACAGTGCCTGGCACATAGTAAGCACTATATAAATGTTAGCTATCATCACCACCATCATCATCATCTGTATGACCATGGGCAAGTCATTTCATCTGTTTCCTCAACCCTAAAAATGGGCAAAACAGTACCTACTCGAACAAGGTTGTTGTGAGGATCAAATGAGAGATCTGTAAAGCTCTTTGCACAGTGCCTGACACATAGTAGGTGCGATATAAATACTTATTTCCTCCCTGTCATTTGATGGGGTGGAGGGGTCCAGATGCTGATTTCATTGGCGTGGGGAGTGGAAGGAAGTTCACCCTGCCAAGTCTGACTACTATTATGTCGTGGTGAGGTGCTTGGCTGTGCGGGGCCGCCCAACATCCACTGTGGTTATTTATGCATTAACGCTTCCTGTGTCAGGTGGGGCTGAATCGGGGCAGATGCCTGGCTCCAGCCCTCTCCGTTTTGCCGAATGGTAAAATCACCATGCCATTCAAACTATTTTTTCCTTCCTTTCCACTACCTCTGCTTCACTTCCCCATCCCCCAAATGTGAGACATCCAAATCTTTATACAGTTAGTGCCTGGCTGCTGCGCGGTGCTAGACGCTAAATGAATCGCTTTCGACGCTTCAAAGGCCCCGCTGCAAGAGACCGCACCCCAATCTCGTTGTTTGGAGGGGAGCTCGAGCTCGGTTCCTTCCACTGACTCACAAGCCTTGGCCACTAGGGGGTCCAGACCCGCGCGCGGTGGCCTCGCGGAGAGCAGCCGGTGGACTCGGGTCCAAGCGCTGAAGCTGGAATCTCCAAACCCCCGCCTTCCCCGTAGCCCAGGCTCGCTGCGCTGCTGCAGGACAGGGCAGAGGGTGCATGTGCACCCGCCTAAGGAGGAGCTGCACACCCAGCCGAGCGGAGTTAATAGCCATCGGAATGTGCGGTAAGTGTTAGATATGAAGGCCGAGAAAGCAGTGTGGTACTTTACTAGGTTTTCCCCTGAGGCATCTTTGCATTCTGGTATTATTATTACTATTAATCTCTAGTCTCCAGGAGCAGTCCAGTCTGGACCGCCCCTCTCCTTCCGGCCTTCCCCATTACTGCTTGGGGAGAGAAACATTTATTCAATATAGAGACGTCCTCGAAGCGAGGAAGACCTGGCTTCATATCCTGCTTCGGACTGTGTGACCGTGGGCAAGTCACTTAACTTCTGCAGGTCTCTTAAGATTATAAACGGCAGAGAAAATGCCGACTTGCATTGGTTAGAGAGCCGTTTCCTCTGCCTCGAAATCACAGATCCAATCCTGAAGTCTTAGTAAAAATGGTCAATATGAAGAAATCTATAAGACCACAAGTCGCATGGAATGGGCTGACCAGCATTGACAGAGGGAGGTTTCTAACTGGGAGGTCCCCATACTGCTGAAATCAGAGACTTGGTCCCTAGCTGTATTGAATTTGGCTCCAGTGGCGGCTGCAGCCAATGCCACCAACTGAGAGTGCCTATTTGAATTCTGGCGCCACTCCCCGAGCCAAGCAGGGCCTGGCCCGACAGCGCGAGCCTGAGGAAAAGCACACCGAACTTGCCAAGACTAAGCAAGCAGCGCGCTTCCCCACCCACAAGAAGGCAGTCGCGCTTAAGTCGTCCGTCCGTGCGTGCGTGCGTGCGTGCGTGCGCGCACCCAAGGCGCCCCGGAAGAACAGAAGCGACACATGCTGGAACACGGAAAGCAAGAGAGGGGTTCTAAAACTACCCGGCACGCCCTATTCATATCAGCGTGAGTACCCGCCCCCTTTCTCCCCGCCCATCACCTTTTAGGTGTCCAATGGACAGTGAGGGGGGCGGAGGAAGCCTCATTCTGATTACGCATCGGCTATATAAGGAGCTGCCCCGAGGGTTTTGAGCTCTTTTCGGCTGAGTACGTGCTCGTTGGGTGTTCGGGTAAGCAACTCTTCGGGGAAGCTTGCGTGGCGGTCTGACGATTTTAGGGTTTACAAGGGAGGGGCAAGAGGAAAACATTCTCGATTCATTGCAGAATCCGGAGGAACGGTAAGATAGAGGCGACTGTGACTTCGGATTCCATTAGGGCATTGCGAGAGATGGTCAGGAAGGATAAAAAAAGCATTTCCTGTAGAGCGTGCCAGGACCTGCTAGGGGTGGGGATGGGGGTGGAGGATGGGTCTGGGGATTTGGGATGACTGGCAGTTATCCGTAGGCGTCCTTTATTGGCGGGCCGCGAAACTACGAGTCCTAGCGTTCCGTGCGGCCTAAAGCCGGCGTCCACGCGGGGCCATGCAATGCATTGTAGGAGGGCGGGGAGGAGCGTTCTCAACCGCGTGGAGACTGAAAGCAAAGCGTGGCTTCGGCGGGATCGCGTTCAAGTTCCGGGATTTGGACGGAGAGGGGAGAGGGAACTACGGGGTCCTAGAAGTGCTAGCAAACTTCATCCCCCACACCCTCCAATTTTGGTCTCATTAATCTTACATTTAGAGTATGTTAATAGCACGCGGTTGCCGATGGAAAGGAGGTCGTAGGGAAAATGGCGAATGCACTGCCAACCCCCCTCCCCCTAGTCAGATGTTAATTGATCCCAGGGAGGCCAAGCTGAGTACGCGTGGCTCGTAGGCTGCCAGCTAAACACTTCAGCGCCCCTCCGGTGCCCGCGTGATTTCTTTGTGCTGACGGTGCAAAAATGTTACACTCTGGATGGTATCCCATTTTGAGGGTCTCATTTGTAGGCCAGGACCTTGAAGGGACGATTTTTTTCTGAGGGGAGGACTTTTTGTTTGGAAAGGGGGCAGCTTCGGAATAAGGCAACACTTAATTATGGGAAAACCTTGTGTTCTGTTTTCTCTTGTAGGAATAATGGCAAGAGCTCTCGGTGATTTTTCAGGACTGCCTTCCAGGAACAATCAGGTGTGGAAGTAATTATGAAAAGAATGTTGATTATGTTGACGTTTTTAAAAGACTGGTGTTTAATTTTTGTGATTTGTCCTTGCATACCCAAATATTAGTATGAACTTTTGAGTTATGTAGCTGTGAAAATAAATTGGTTTTTAAGCTAAAACTAGCAACTTAAAAGGGAAATCTCCTGAGCAGTGGGTAAGTCATGGGCATCTTCCATCCAGAAGGGCAAATGGGAGCTGACCTTGAGAAACTTGGGAAAGAGGGTGATTCAGTGAGATCTTTGGATATTTGAATGAATGAAAATTGTTTCCTCTTCTAGACTCAAATGAAAACAGGGCATCTGGATGAATATTCTGCTAGCACTAATGAGTCCATAGATACTTGAATGGAACAGGTGAGCATACAAAACTGGGTGCCTGGAACAAAACACTTTCTAAAAAATCTTCCTATGAGATACCTCTTTTTAAAAATCTGTAGTGGGTTTTGTTTATGTTTTTTGGCAGGACAAGTATCCATTGAATATTATGATGTAATCAAAGCCCAAGATCTTGTTGACTGACTTGATGGCTTCAGGCTGAGGTATTTGATTTTTTTTTTAACATTCTACTTTAACTCAGTGATAGTTAAGTATCATGTTGCTCTTTAATTGCCTTTGATTTTTAATTAAAGGTTAATGTTTATATTTGCTGTTAGTAACTAGTAATGTCAGAAGGTTGATCTTTATTTAAATAGCTGAGTGAGGAATTTATTGAACAGATCTGGTGGTCTAATCAATGATGAACCTATCCCGAACCTGATTTCTTGATGAAAAAACTTAACATACGGATCTGGCTTCTGAGAAGACCATGCTCTTAGAAACAGAAGGAACTAGGCCTAGTTTTTCTTTTAATTTTGTTTTTCATGTTGTAATTGCAAAGAAAGTATCCTTGTTGCTACTTAAAGACAGGGGGTGAGATGATGATATAATGAAGAACTTTGTGTCAAAGTATATTACTAATAGACAATTCTCTTTGCCAACAGCATGTTGAACATGCAGGATTGAGGAGCTCTTAATTACCATATACCAAAGTAAGTAATGTGTACTCTGCATAGTTGCATAAGCTTTGTAATTTTGGGTAAAATGGATTTTTCTATGTAAATTGCTACTGTATCTTGGTCTTATTTATGATGATACTATCCCGAACCTGAATTCCTGTTGAAAAACTCCACATTACGGATCTGGCTTCTGAGATAAGACCAAAACATGAATAGTGTTTTCATAAGATACTACTTTTTTCATAAGTACTTCTTTTCTAAGAATGTATTGGGTGTATAAAAGTACTTTACTCTGAAGCTTAACTATGGGGCCATATGTTTTGACTGTTAGTAGTTTCTTTTGGGTATGAAGCCTTGAAGGGTTCTTTTTATGTTCAGATGGTCATTCTTAAAACCCCAATGTTTTCCCATTTCAGGGATATTGTGGAATCATTACATCTGCATCATGAGACAAGTGTGGATGGTAGACGGAAAAGAACTAAGAAATCTGAAATGAAGCTTTTTTATGTCACTCTGGAAATGCCAAGACATAAAAATTTCTATGCATTTAGACAGAAACTTAGAATTGTATTGTTTTGAATTGAGTTTCATACAAAATTGTTTGATTTTGAAATTATGGGAGAATTTCTAAATTTATGGATGTTACAAATGACTGCCCTGATGGTGTCTGAGTGTCGGTATTTTTTAATATAATTTATCCGAAGTTAAGACAAACAGGTGAATCAAACCTACAAAAGGCATGGGGGCTTTTTTAAGTGGTCCTTTTTAATTCAAAGCAATTGCAAATTTGGCACATTGAATATTAATATGCATATTTGAAAATGTTAAGTCTAACTTATGAAACAATTCCTTTTACGCTGACTCTTTTTTAAATAAATGGTGAGATAAAATAGTGCTGTGCTGTTGGTGTCTTGGCTGTTTAAAGTGATATAGGTGTTTTTTTGGGATAAGATCCTGTTTCTAGGTAGGTAGAATTGGACTAAGGCTAGGTTGAATTTGTTAATAGACAGGTTATTATTAGTGGTGACTAGTATCATTTGATCATTTATGTAATACATTAAAGTGGTATATTTGCTAAGGGATTCAGTTATAAAACAGTTACTTAGGCAGCTGGCCCCATTTAATTAAAATGCATTACCAGATTTCAGGTAACATTGATTTCTGTAATTGTATGGTTTAAGCCATTAAATGATATGGTAAGGTAATTATTTCCCCTGACTTAATAGTAACATTCCTTTTCTGACAGCAATCTTGATAATTTGAGACATTGGGTGGGCTTTTTATATAAAGTTTTTTCCACCTTTAACAGTTTTAAAAGGACTCACTGGATATTCCAGTACAGTTTATTGGCAACTTTAGCAGAGAATGACAGGCTTTCAAGTTAGTTTTAACAGTAGCATAGTCTTGAAATCAGAAAAGCTCTTTATGAAAGCAATCCCACTAGAACACTGGTCTCTGAACTTTAATGATAGCATGGTTGCCACATTTGAGGACAATACGTTCCACTTAAGCTCAAGAATAGATGTTAGAAAATGTTTGGGTTTTTTCTTTCTAAGTTAAACATCACTAGTTCATAAACTTAACACTGAAGTATAGCCAGTAATACTCTAGATTATTAAATTATCAAAGGAACAGCACAATTCTCCAAATGAAGGGCAGCATACAGTGAAATTTAGACCTCTCTGTTCCTGGAATTCATTTATTGGGGTGGTGAAACACATTTAGTTTTTCACATTTCAGTTGTTGATTGAGCTTAGATCTCATTAAAACCTCCCAGACCTAGAACTATGGTCATGACTTAGAGTTTTGTTAAGTTAGGTTTCCTTCTCAGCTAATCTGTTCTAAATCATACCAGAAAAAAACCTAGTCTGAGATGTGTACATGACAATCACCAGCTTTTGCTCAAGAGATTTCACTGAGGAGCTAGCTATTGGTGTGATTATGGAATGACATTTCAGTAAGCTAAAATCTTTTTTTTTATTCATTGAAAAATATCTATTTGAATTAGGGAATAATTTGAGCACCGAGATAATGCTTATGCTCGATTTCTGAAGAAACAAGTTGGATACTTACTAAAAAGGAGTCAAGGATGATGCCAGAATTATGAACCTATGTGACTGGCATCAAAAAGATTTGGTGGACCTGTTAAATGACTGGTATGAAAGCAAAAATATCCTAGGGAGACAGCATTTTTATAACTAAAATATGTACAAAATCAATATAAGATGGTTTTGAGAAGGGCATTAGTAGCTAGGCAGATCAGGAGAGGTTTCATGTATAAGATGGAGTGTGAGTTTTAAGTCCTTGAGGATTGGCACAGTACATGCTAGGGAACCACCAGTACAAAGAAACCAATGAAAGATGGAGATATGTGAGGCCAGCAAGTAGTCCAGTGTGGCAGGACTATAGAATACATGGAGGATGAGGTATAGCAAGCCTGGAAAAGCTAGAAGTGGCCATTCTGAGAGGAATTTTAAATACCAAAGGAATTAGTATGGAATTCTGGAACTAATAGGAAATACCTGGACTTTATTGATTAGAGGGGTGTTATATGGGGAGATGACAAATAGGTGAGGAACCAAAGATGGCACCAAGATTGCACACAGTCTCGCATCTTTGGTTGCCTGGATCAGTGGATGGTGGTGTCTGACTTATAGGCAAGTTTGGTACAAGGGTGGGATTTATGTAACTATCAGCCTTACTCAGCATCCTCAGCTGGAAAATGGGGCTAACAGCCCCTACTTCCCAAGGTTGTGATGCTCAAAAGAGGTGTTTGTAAAGTACTTAGCATGGTGCCTAGAACTAGGAAGTGTGATACAAATGCTTATCGCTTTCCCCTCCCTGTGGGATATCCAATTCAAAATGTCCAAAAGACAGTTTGTGATGTGGAAATACAGCTATATGTCCACTATCACTGGACATAGATTTGGAAGTTATCTGTATAAAGGTCATAAAAGCATGAAAGATGAAGAGATAACCAAGTCAGAATATATGGAAGAGAGTAAGACCCAGGACGCAGTTGGGATATAACTATAGTTAGAGGATATGGAACACAGCCAGCAAATGAGGCTGATAATGGTCATTATTTTCTTCAAGAAAGAATAATTAGTTCTTCAAGAAAGAATAATCCAGTTTAACCTGTAGAATGTGAATGCTAGAAAAGATTTGGCAACAGTATGAAGGATGACTTGTGGAAGAGGGAGGGCAAACTTGGAAGCAGGGTGACTATAAGAGGCCACTGAAATAGTTGAAGTGAGATCAATTGAACACTGAACAAATTGTGGTAATATGAATGTAATGGACTACTACTATGGCATAAGAAATTATGAGAGGTACAAATTCAGAGAAACCTCGCAGAACTTGTTTGAACTAATACACCATGAAGCAAGCAAAACCTTTATATGATGACTAAAAATATTGAAAAGGAAAACAACTTTACAAAACTTACGAATTCTGATCAATGCAGTTACCAGTCACCACTCCAGAAAACTGATGATAAAGCTTACTTCCCATGCCATGGGGAAGAATTGGATTAGTAGTTGAAGAATTAGACCTGCATTTTCTAACATGACTAATGTGTGAATTTGTTTTGCTTGATTATACATGTATGAAGTTGAAAAAAATTATGAAATTGCTTAAGGACTTTGTGGGCACCCTGTGTATTTTAAATAATTGTGCATGATAGAGGTTTATAATTTCATATATAAAAAAAAATTAGGTGAACGATAATTGACGACTACACTGTCTCTTTTCCCAATGCATCTTACTAAACTATTGCAATAAACTCTCCCTGACTTCATTCATAATACCTCTCCAATTTGTCCATCCTGCTGTTAAATCTTTCTTTTGCTTAAATAAGGAGTTCTCAACTATTTTTTGTGTAGACCCATTTGGAAGTCTAATAAAGCCTATAGTCCCCTTTGCATAAAATCAAATACATAGATTACAGTAGAAGCCAAAAGTTAGTGAAAATAAAGATGTAATTGTTTTTCCCATCCAAGTTCATTATTCCCCTGAAATCTATTCTGAAACCCAGAATAAGAACCCTGGCTTAGGTCTAGCAATGGCATTCCTCCACTCAAAAATCTTTAGTGGCTCTCTTTTGCCTACTGAGTAAAATTTGAACTGCAAACTGCCTCCAGTCCACCCTGACATGCTGCCCTGTCATCCATTTGCCTAGCATGTGGTAGGGGCTATATAAATGTTAGTTATTATTATTATCCATCCCTCTGTTTTTGTGCATACTTTCCCCTTATGCCTAGAATGCCCCATTTCTACCACTTCACCTGTTAAAAGGGAAGGAAAAGGGAACAAGCATTTAAAGTGATTACTGTATTCTAGGTATTTGTGATAAGTGCTCAACAAATATTTCATTTGATCCTCATAAAACCCTTGGGAAGAAAATATCTCATTATACAATTGAGGATGCTGAAGCAGAAGCCAAGTGACTTGCACAGGGTTATACAACTAGTGTCTAAGTCTGGATTTGAACTCAGAGATTCCCAACTCCAAGACTATCCATTGTACCACTTACCTGTTTACTTGTGCTTTAAAACCCAACTCAATTGTACACTGTTAAAGCAACATTGTGCAGTGATCAACTGTGGTTGACTTAGCCCTTCTCAGCCATACAATGCTCTTAAGACAATTCCAAAAGACTCATGATGGAAAATGCTATCCACATCCCAGAGAAAGCACTGATGGAGTGTGAATGCAAATTGAAGTATATTATTTTCACTTTTTTTTTGTGGGTTTTTTTTTGCAAATTGTAATTTGTTTTACACAATTGCACATATATAATCCATATCAAATTACTTATCATCTTAGGGAGTAAGGAAGGGAGGGAGAAAATTTGAAACTCAAAATTTTATTTAAAAAATGAATGTTAAAAATGGTCTACATGTAATTGGGGGAAAAAATTAAATACTATTGAAATATAAATAAATGAACAAACTTGGCAAGAACCTGACCTTCCTCTTACCTCCTAACTGCCACCTGTTTTCAATATCAACCTACTTCTGACCTTACGTGCATGATTTTTGGCTATGAATTCAGCAGACAGTGAATTAAATTTTGAGTCAAAGGACCTGGGTTTAAATCCCAGTTCTACTTTTTGCCTGTATGAATTAAAGGAATTCACTTAACGTCTCTAATATTATTCTACAGAATGATGAGGTTAGATTAGATGATTGCTAAGATCCTTTCTAACTATAAGATCTATCATCTCTAATGTTCTTAGTTATGTATAACTATATTTGTTGATGCCTTATCACCATTACTAGATTATAAGATCCTTGAAGGCAGGGATCAGACTCATCCAACCTTTCTATTGCACCTGTCAGAATATTCAGTGTGCAATAGGTGCTTATTAAATATGTTGGATTTTAGGGTAAAGGCAGTGAAAAGCAAAATTGACATCATCAAGATACAGTAATGGACAATTTTATAGACATATAATATTTTGGAAATCTTAAAGTCTTACATAAATGTCAGTTGTTATTCAGTGTCTACTAATGTGCCTTGCACATAGTAGATATTTAATAAATTAAACTTTTAATGGGACTGGACAACTAGTCCAATGCAGGAGTGAGAGAGAATGGTGCCAGGATCTTGAGAATGGTGGTACCAGTACCATTAACGGAAACATAGAAGTCAGGAGGAGTAAATTTAGTGGGGGAAATGATGAGTTCAGTTTTGAACATGTTGAGTTAAAGTGTTGGCAAGTTAGCAAAGTAGGCAAGTAACTGTGCTTAAACTCAAAGGAGTTTGGAGCTGGAGGTAAATTGTAGTCATTTCAATTGAGATGATAGTTAAAACCCTGAGAATAGATCATGATCTCTAAGAACAGAACTTTGGGTAGTGTCTACATTAAGGAGGCTGGAGAAGGAATAGGAA